CACCAAAGTGGAGGTGGTTAGTGGTGGATATTTACCGAGCCGCGAAGCGGCGAGGTAAATATCAACCGCGAACCACCGACACTGAGGTGAATAGTTGTTTTAGTATATACTAAAACGGTGAGATAATATACACCACCAAAAATTAATTTGAGTGATTTCTTCGCTTGTCACGGATTCAAAACAGGACGCCATTTTTTCCCGAGTTACTCGGACGTAAATAGCAAAGGATATTCGGAGTTTGACTGGCCAATCAGAGTGCTCCTTCAACACTATCCACTGTTCTAGTATATACTAACTACAGTTATGTCATATGCGATCACCTTGTGATCGGCATGGCAGAGGAGTCTGACAGCTGCTTCCCAAAGTCATTAACCATAGATTTGTCACCTTTTGTGAATATTGTTCAGTCTGAGCTATATGATCTACGTTTAGTAATCGAGGCAGACATTCCCCACGTCTTATGATGTAGAAGTAATATAGTTATCATCTGCTTGTATTCTAAATAGAGTGGAACGAAATTTGTTCTTTCTGAGCGCCTCGTAATCAAGTGTGACCACTGAAGTTGAGCTTGCGACCCTCTGATAGGGAGTCATATTACTGTTTGCATAATTGTGGAACGAAGCTTAAGGATCCATCTTTTAGTCAAAGCTAAACATTAGATTTTGAGGTTGTAAGAAAAAAAACAGCCCGGAATTTTTAGTGATGCTCAAGGTCCAGGTATTCATTTGTTACTTGTAACTGCTCTCCAACTCACTTCTCTGGCTGGTAAGTCAAGTTTGTTTGTTTTCAGCCAAACATAATGGTAAAAGGCGGAAATTCCTACTCCATATGTATTTCATGCTCTAAGCCAAACTATATTCAGTTCGACAGTATAAACGGTATATCGCATGAACGGCGGGTTTGAGAATTGACCTCCGTATCTTGTTATAAATGCACACTCGATAGGTTATATTTCAATTACAATTTTGGAAGCGACCGTGTGACGACATAACAGCGGTCGATTGTATCACTTACAATTCAAACAAAGTCAAAACTAAGGAATGTATCCTCAGCTTTTGTTGTGTTTCTTTTTACCCCCTTCTCCCAATTTAAGTCTTCACTTGTGTCCAATTTCTTTTACAACAACCCCGTTTATTTATTGGTGCACTGCCGTGTTTTGTTTATTGCGAGTGTGCTCACAAGCCCGTAGAATCGAAACTGTAACGACTTGGTGAAGATTCGACTTCACTCGATTAACACAAGCCCCCCAGCTAAAAAATATTGTGACTCAATTAAACTGTTCCTATGTGACGATAGTTTTAAAATTGGTGCGGAGTTAAGTATGCCAAAAGGCTCAACCTCCGGTAAAATTTCTCACGTTTTTGCAGATAGAATGTTGTTTTTTTTCCTACTGGACATTTGAGGCACGTGAACATGACCATAGTAAGCAGTAATGATTTAATATACAGTCGTCGCTGTTTAATCCGTAAGCGTTACCTGCCAGTTACGAGTTGACCTTTTTAAACAAACTTCTCAATTTTATTCAGTCAAGTTTGTAACGCAAAGTTGTATAAGTGTATAAATATAAAGCAAATACGCTTAAGCTTGATATCCTTGCAGGTGGATTCGAATTATTGGATTGAGAGGATTGAGAGCACTACAAGTGCTTAAATGCTCAGAATGAAAGATAACCAAACGAAGCTTAGGAATGGTCTTAACAGAATCAGAGCGGAAAGATATCAAAATTGCGAGACGGTTTTTGTTGGGGAGTTTTCTTTTCAAAGATGGGTACTTATTTATATTTCTCTCCACTGTGTGCGTCTATTTAGCAACAGTTAGTTCCTCTGATAGCGAGGTCAGTCACTGAACAATTATGAGTTTGAAGCGCATGTGCACTTTTAAATGCCCAAGAGTAATGAGCTTATTTTGCCAAACATTGAGCAACTTTCACTTTGTGGAGAAACTGAGACGAAGAGGTCTCATCTGCAGTGCTGTGTGAGGCATAATCAAAAATTAAACATAGAATAGGTGCTGAAAGTGTCGTAGAAGTTTCCTTTAAAACTTTATACCTAAGACACGGTCAAAAGAAGTCTAGCAGCCATCACAAACAGATTTCATTTATAGGTGATTAAATGATCTTGGAGGTTTATGCACTCGTTCCTGATGTCTTTCCAGAAGCAGATGTTTACTTTACTGCGATGCCTAATAACCCTACTTACGTAAATAATGGAAGCATTGCCAAACTGGCGTGGGATTACAGTGACCCAAACAATGACCACAGTTTTTTATGACATTTTTTTAGGCGGCTGCTGATAGTTCAAGCATGAGACGGCAATGTCCACAAAAGATGGTTGACGGCGGTGTTACATACAATCCTGATAACCGACTTCTAAAAACTACTGAATAGTTTATGATTTAGAATGGAAGTCTCATAGTAATCACATTAGATTTATTATTATTTTCCTGTGGTTAGATCATCCACCGAGACCTCGCAGCCCGTAATGTGATGGTCGGGGAGAACGAAACATGTAAATTAACAGATTTTGGAATGGCCAGGGAGGTGCAGCAAGAAAATGTTTATGAAAAGAAGACAAAGGTAATTTGAAAATATGAGTTTCACTTCATTACACTGATTAAGGCTATAATTTGTAATTCTAGTTTGACTCCCCTCAAGCTTCAAAATATTTTTTTCATGGAATCTTAAAGCTCCATTTTCTATGTTATGCTGTCAAATGAAAACTCTTCATAGAGTAACTATGAATTCCTAAGGGTCGTCTTCCAGTAAAGTGGAAAGCTTACGAGGCGTTGTTGTATGGCACATATACCACCAAAAGTGATGTGTAAGTACAGGCGTTTATTATTTGTTATGATATATCGCTACGCATTCAATTTGAGTGCGAAAAGTAAATCCTGCCAACTAGTCTGCGCACAATACACATAGCATCAAGCTCAGTTCCAGGAGTCATTAGTCGACCTTCGAGCGTTTGTCACATTTCCTGTTTTTAAGAACGCTCCTTATGTTTATGTCATATTTCTCCCATTATCTTCTAGATGGAGTTATGGAGTTCTCCTTTATGAGATTTTCACAATAGATAACGATTTATTCCACGCAAAATCTATAGTGAAAACCAAAGAAGGGTACTAAAGACTGGTTAGAGCGCCGGATTGTGTTGTGCGGGAGGTCGAGGGTCCCAGAGAGAATTATTCAGCAGGGAGGGTTTTTGCAGCTATCATATACTTTTTGGAGAGCAGTTAGGTGAACGAAATTCTCTGTAGCTTCTTAATTCGTCTTGAACTAGCGAAGCCGCAAAAGATCTCTCGAAAAAAAAGTCCACATTCGTTACTGTAGTGGTAAGAAAACCTACAACTCACAGGCAAGGAGAAGAGAGTTTTCGTTTGGGAACTGATGTGAAAACGGTAAATATGAAGAACTCCACACTAATCTTCTTGTGGTCTTAATTTGAAAGCTTGACATTTCATCCAACATTTGAAATTGCATACACTTACGTAAATCTGCGTGAATGATGCGAATATTTTTTTTTGACAGCATGTTACAAAAAATCTACTCATTGTTCAATGAAAATCAACATTGCCCTGACGTTACTTGAGATTCAATTTTCCATCCTTTTGACTGTCAGTCTTCGTGACATATTTCTCTTATAAGCTACTCCGCTCTATTGCCAGCTTACAGACTAGGGCCTAAATGAACTTGTAGTCTAGAACTTAGGATAATCGAAAATCACAAATAATGTACCTTTGGTCATCAACAATATTTTTGGAATAACTTCAGTGATTGCTCCATGGTACATTGAGTCACGTCAACATGAAGAAAAGGCGAAGTTGTGATTTAGTATCCAGTCGTCACTGTTTTAGCCGGAAGCGTTACCCGCTAGAGATTTAGTAACGTTCTGCATTTATAATTACTTCAACTGAGAGAACTTTTCATCTAAACCTCCCAGAAACTCTAATAGTGGAAACAATTGTAACCAAACGAAATTGTTCCCAGTGTGACGGTTTTGTCACCTATATTTTTGAGAGTAGCTATTTGTGAAGCTGAGTTGACCTTTAAAACAACTCTATCATTTTGAATTGGTCAAGTTTGTGACGCAAATTATTATAACTTATAATAGTATGAGGAAAATATTAATCTTAATAAGAATAGCATTACAAATGCTATAAATGCTCTGGAAGAAAGAAAACCGAACCAAGCTAAGGAGTAGTCTAGACAGAGTCGCAGCGGACAAATGCGAAAATTGCAAGGCACATTTTTCTTTGGGAATTTTCTATTCAAAGATAGAAGCTTATTTATGTTCTTTTGCACTGTATGCATCTATTTAGCAACGTTCAGTTTCTGGGGAGTGATTGCGACAAAGAGGTCAGCTAGCAACTAGGAATAGGAAGCGCATGTACACTTTTTGTAAGAACAACAGCTCTGAGCTGGTTTGGCAAACGTTGAGCGATTTCCACTTTGTGGAGAGAGAATGAGACGTAGCGTTCACATCTGGAGCGCCATGTGTGGGGCATGATCCTAGATCAAATATAGACTAGTAGCTAATAGTGTCGCAGAAGTTTTCGTTAAAACCTTTAAGGTGCGGTCAAAAGAAATCTAGTAACGAACAGAAAATAAACGTCATTTGCATTCGATTTAATGATTTCGTAACTTCATTCACTCGTTATTGTTGTCTTTTCAGAGGCAAATGTTCACTTTACTGTGACGCCCACTGATCCTACCTATGTAAATAATGGAAGCACTGCTAAACTGGCGTGGGACTACAGTGACCCAAACAATGATCTCTATGGAACTGTCTTTAGTGTTCTGGTTAAGACAGGATTCAAACGCATGCTATATAAAGAAAATGGTGTTGTCAAGGAAAATCAAAGTTTACCTTCTGCTTACAAGGGCAGAGTCAGGATAGAAGGAAGAGCTACCTTGGTCGTTGAAAACATAACTCCTAACGATAACGCCAAATTTCGATGTACACTGTTTGATGGCATAACTTATCCTGAAAGTGAGATTCGTCTTATTGTAGCAGGTATGAGTTGCTAATCATTAGTTCTCATTAGAGGTTGGTAAAGAATGGAATTTTTAATGATCTAAAGATTCTCATTTTTGTAGCACTTTTGTATTTCGATTTTTAGACTTAAGAA